GGCCGGCCGGCCACTTTTCTTTCCAGAATCCTGCCTTTGCTGCAACAGAAAACAACAGAGCCAAGGCAATGTATTTGGCTAGAAATGTGTGTACTACCACCCTCCTTATCATATCTCAAGCTCAAAGGAGTGTGATACTTGGCTCTCAAGCCACCAATCAAGCATCTCAATGCATGATGGTTCGAAAACCAAGCTTGTACAAGCTTAGTGAATGCGCACATAAGACTCAAAATGCCTCCACCCTATCATGCATGATCAAGGGTGTTGGCGACCAAAAAATACATCATGTTTCATCACTTTGAGTATGAAACGTCTCATATTTCTTGTGTTTGGATTAACGTCTGATCCAAACAAATGCAATGCAACACATATATGTTATCTTGGCATATTTTACTTGGCTCAATTCTTGTTTACTCATTTACATTACCAAACCATTCCTTAATTGGTTAATTCTAATTGTGAAAAGTCCTCTAATTTGAAAGATGACCTAAGCTTCGAGTGCCTTGAGCATGGAAGAAAGTATCATGCTATTGGTTAGTAGAAATCCCCAAGGGAGGATTAAAACCAATAGGCATGAATGCCTCAAGTTCATGCTCAAGCCAACAAGGGCTTAAGGTCATTTTCAAAGTGAATGATAGTTTGAAACAATGGAGTACAATAACACACATTTCATCACTGAAATAGCATGCTAAGTGACTTAGAACAATGCAAACAACTCATGTAATGCATGCTCAAAGGCTTAACTCATTAAGCTAATGAAAGGGGTTGTGCTACCTCCTTACAACACAAGCCTCAAAGGGCTAAACCAAATCAAAATAGACCTCAAACATGCCAAAATAGTGGCCAAATCATGTTGAGATTGAAGTTTACAAGGCAAGAAAATCATGCATACCAATTGGCCAACAAGCAAGGCATAAGGCTTAACTCCTAGAAGCAATGAAAGAGTGATATGCATGAGAGTGTGACAGAGAAATATGCTCTGAAATCATGTGTGAAATGATGTCATAGCATGCAAACATCTCAAACAAAGCATGCTAGAGGCATCAAAACACAAGGCTAGTGAGGTCCATTGCACTACAGCTATACAAAGCAAGCCCCATATGACCAAAATCACTCAAAATAGAGTTAAATCATACTAAAACATGGGTAAAATCATGCTGGAGTGTGGTCAAAATAAGCTAGAATGATGGGCTAAAGCATCAAACATACAAGGCTAATTAGCAAGATTACACTACAAGTGTAAGAAGCATGCATGATGTGACTCAACCAGGCCAAAATAGAGTTACAACATGTTGAAACAAGGTCAAAAGTAGGCTGAGATTAAGTCAAGTGATGGTGGAAAAATATGCTCAACAAGTAGGCCAACAAGACATGTAACCAAGAAGCAAAGAGGGGAGGCCACCTCCTCTTACTTTGGACCTTAAAACATGATTTCTACCTGTAGACACCTCAATTTTGTCAAAATGACATTTTTGGCCAGCCGACTACTGTGCATCTGCTTTTGCAGATATTTTAAGACAGCTGTCTTGCTTTTGGCTCCCCCC